AGTCCCTTACCAACAAGGCCACAATAATGGCATCTTGCATAGTGGGGTAAATCATTCTGGTAACCGGTTCCACTTGAGTCCAAGAACTCCAGGTCTCTTCTCTAATTCTGAGCGGTCTTTTGGGCCTCCACAGCATCCGTTCCTGGTGAACCCAGTTAATCATAGGAACTTAAGAATTTTGCCACCTCTGGTTAGTCTGCACCTCACTTCATTTATTTATTTTACAATTTCTGGTATTCAAATACCAAATAACTCAATAACTATTAGGATCACCATTTGCCTAATATGATACATCTGGTGTGTTCTTTTCCTTTTTGTGGAATGTTGGGAACTTTATAGGAGTCTTGCATGTCTTGGACTTGTGCTTTAGTGCATTCATACCTTAATGTGTTTTATGTGCTAAGTTATGGAATTTTGAATCTTACAAACTGGAATTCTTTTTACCGATTTCTAAATGGCCGATGTCCTTCAATGTAGAACTGGAAGTGACCAGCCTTGCAATTATCTTGTTCTGGAAATGTTATCCATTGCATTGTTGTTAAGTCTCTTAATATTCTTGGGGAGTTCTTATTGAAATGTGTTAAGCTATGTGTTGGTTATTAGATTCAAGAAATTGTATTAGTTGATTCTTGTTGTGTTGTATGAATGCCTCGGGCCTACTGAAGCTTTTGCTTGGATACAATGTTTCTCACATTTGAAATTGCCTCTTGTTATTTTTATTTCTGGTCAACAGGAAGACGACTATTATACTCATGCATTTGACCTCATGTCCTTCCTGCCGCTATTTATTTGTTTTATGTTACCATGTTTTCCTTGGTGATGTGCGTGATACACACCTTGCAAAGTTACATGTACCTTCTTATGTAAGCAATCTCTTTCATGGACCCTGTGTACCAGAAGCTGAACCCATGTCTTGAGTACTACTTGCATGATCAGAGATAACCTTAATTGATGCGATTGATTAGGTTCTTGGCTGATTTTTTAAGCAGAAGTGGTCTTAATTTCAAATCCATCCGTGCAGACAGACTCGTTTCACTTGTGACAAACTTACAATTGTCACAGATAGTATTAACTTCTAAGTCCAGGCGTGCAAACTGGTTATAGTGTAGACCTCTTGAGGTCCCTGTTTTTTTGTTTCCGTTGAGGATGTCAATGGTATACATGTAGTTATATAACTATTTGTTGGCCCTGCAGCAGCATGGTGCAATCATGGATTTTTCGAGGTTGTATGAGGGGTCAAATGTAGTAGATGAGCATAGAGATATGCGTCTAGATATAGACAGCATGACCTATGAGGTACGTAAAGCTCATTCAGCCTTTGTGACTTCACCTCACACGGTATATCTTTTCTGATCTATTCTTTTATTTCTATCACAGGAGCTTTTAGCATTAGAAGAGCACATTGGAGACGTCAATACAGGTCTGGCAAAAAGCCACATTGTAGATAAATTGAAGACTAGCTTATATGTGCCAGGAGCAACCTGCGTGTCTAATCAGTCATCTGAACCTTCCACAGAGAATGAGGCTTGCATAATATGCCAGGTGCTTCCCTTTCACTATATTGTTTGTTACCTTGCCTTAGCCATGTAAAATTTCAGCTGTTCCAAACTAATGAATTGTCAACCAGCCATCGAATTCGTGTTGAACCACCATCACATCTATTGAATGTTTAATGAACTTGATCGCTTGAACTTAGCGTTCTGCACGGTCTAAACTTAATACTTATGGATCTAAAGTAATGACTATAGCTTATGCGATGACTGATAATGCATCTACTTATACTACAGCGAGCAATGGCTAGTGCAGTATTGTAGGACCACCTCGTCTACAGCATATTACCCACCTCTGCGCAGTAGTGTCGTGTTGATGTTGAGAAATGTTTGTTGCTTATTTTGACAGTACAGTGTACCCACATCCCTTCAGCTTTCTGTCCATAAGAGAACCTATTTTCTCTAGGATTACTACTTAGTAAATTTAGTTGGAAATTAGCATTAGCAAATGCGCCGATGCATGGTGATGATCATCTAGAACAAAGTTACTCTGTTTCTTATTAGACAGTATAGTGTTCCCACTTCCTTTGGCTTATGTACATAAAATAACTTATTTCTCTAGGATTACTCCTTGGTAAATTGAGCTGGAAACTACTATTAGCAGATGGACCGATGTATGGTGATAATCATGTAGAACAAAGTTACTAAGGAGTGGTAGTTGGTAAATGGCCACCCATGCTTTTCTTCGCCATAAATATTGATTGGATTTGGAAAGGCGATGTCATGAGGATCGGTCACCCATGTGCTAGGCCCATGGTTCCAATCAAGTGATATGAACTCTTTAGTATCTCTTTAAGTAGAATTGTATCATTAAAAATTTTAAATTTAAATTAGTAATTAATCAACTAGAGGTAAGATAGGAGAGGCTTCTTTTAGTGCTCCACCTATGTGTGAACATTTATACTTTGCAGGGTGGTGACATGGCAGCATGCATGCCCCCCCTGTGATGTGCTAGTTCACTACCACCTCCATTCTAAATAAGGTGGGCATGCATTCCAAAATCCAACTTTGACCATAAATTATACCAATATACACTATATTTTTATGACTTAAAAATTATATCATTGAAAACTTATTTTGAATACAAATTCAACTGTTTAATTTTTGTGACGTATAACCCATATTTGGTTGGTCTAATTTATGGTCAAAGTTCAATTTTAATGGTCAAAGTTCAATTTTAAAATGTGTGTGCACCTTATTTATTGGAATGGAGGGAGTACATACTTATCAAGTTTTTTACAGTGATTTATTTATTTAGTTTTGTGATCAGTGAGTGATTATAACTGGTCATTTAAATAGTCATGCATGCACACGAATCGCTATGATAGATCTGATGGCATTCAAAGGTGGAGCCGCTGCTCCATGGTTTACCTGAACATTAGTGATAAGATATCCCTTAGCTTTGGGCTTGCAGCCAATAGTTTAGATTATTAGCCCTCAATATAAAGAGGACACATTGAGATGAATTGATAACCTGGAAGTACTAAACTCTGTCGTCCATCTAGTTTGTCCTCCCAATCCAAAAGGCTTGCCTGTTCTTAGTGCATAAACCCTTGTGATCATTTCGCGAACTTTGTGTAACTCTTCTACTTCTAGTAAAAATTCTGGTGTCCTTGCCCGATAATAAGCACTAGCTGGTTGGTGAAGCATAATCCTCGCGTGAGGGAATGCTATACGCTTGGTGGTTCTCCTCCAAGCAGAATGAAGGACGCCATGGAGGTGGCTATTCTGAGGCATATTGTATATATATCTGGTGTCACCGTTTGCATCGTATCAAAAATAACCATTCCTGAGATTAGCCATCCGCCTGGGGAGTTCATAAACAAAAAAAATACCTTTCCTAGATGAGCATTGCCAACTGGCGATATTTATCCTCGTGGGCCCTGGTTCATGACAGGAGGAGGAGAATCTAGTTTCACGCTGGCGTCCAATCTATTCCCAGTTCCTAGTTCTAAAGAACTGTCACTTGATGTATCTTGCAGGAGGAGTACGAGGCTGAGGACTGCGTTGGAATCCTGGATTGTGGCCACAGATACCATGCGGTGTGCTTAAAACAGTGGCTGACGGTAAAGAACCTATGCCCCATCTGCAAGACAACAGCTTTGTCTGCGGGTAGAAGAAGTTGATAACAAACAGGATTAATCTTTATCAGTTATTTGCTTCCGACAAACATTCAGATCAATTTTGTACATAAGAAGCGGTAGACTATTCTGCTACCTGTATTTGTTGTTCACCTTGTGATTGGGAGTAACTCGGCTTCCAAAAACTGTACAGACATAACATTGATCGTTCTATTCAAATGTAGAATGTTTATAAATTACTCAGTTGGACATACAGTGTATCATATGGTGGATCCGAAGGTAACTCTTAGAGTGGCATCTCTAGAAACTACCCTGTATATATGTTGGTTACCCTAAAACAAACAGAAACATGTGTTTTTTTACATTATTTAATCTTAAGAGAACTGATAATTGTTTCTGTTATTGGAGAGATTGATCTGAGAGTGCCCAGCCGAGCACGAGTTTTTCAGCATATGGCTTTGGACGACAATGTTCTGTATTGTATAATGGATTATTCAACTCCGTCGTGCAGTTTGGTTGAAACATGAGAAACAAAACCTCGAATCTGAACTCGCTCGTGTTTATGATGGGCTTTGCCTTAATTTTATTGCATTATATTTGTATTTTCTGCCATTGTTTTCATATCTTTTAATAAGGGGACATATGGTGTTTTTGTTTTCTTAGTGGCTGTACCGTACAAGTAAAAGATAGTTTTGCCCTAGAACTCTCCCCCTAATATTATAGCTTGTGCGCCGTACTTGCCTTGAGAGAATCTTCCCTGAAGGATCTCTGCACCCATCCCCAGGTAACAAAACGTGATGAAGGAAGGCCAGTCGCGCCAACTGCCAAATGAGCACACGAAAATGAAAGGAGAAGCAAAGAGAATGCTACTACTACTACATGAAGCCAAGTCAAGTCTGGCACATGCTTATATTCGCAAATTCAATTTTGTACATATCGTTTTGCGAGATGAGAGTCGTTGACACATGTATGTACAGAGATGCATGCCCGGTCGGTCACGGAGACGAAGCCAGGACCGGGACAACGAGCGGCTCGATGGTCGTCATCATCTCTCGCTTGGCTTTCTCTACCTCCCCACCACCCCCCACGAAACCAACGCCATCCGCGGCGACCCCTTCTTCCCTTACCTGAGACACTTCTCCCCAAAGCGAACCAACCCAGCTGAAAAGAAGCGAGACGCGCCGCACCGCGTTGCCTTTGTATCGTGCCTCTATTTAGCTCAAGAGGAGAGGATAGGAGAGGAGAGGAGAGGATAGGAGAGGAGAGGAGAGGCGCGCGGGAAGGGGAAGGAGATCAAATCTTAGGAAACCATCGGTTGATCGAGCAGCGGCGGCGACGCAGAAGCAGCAGGAAGCAGGAGGGGAGGGGGATGGCGGTGGCGTATCGCGCGGAGGAGGAGTACGACTACCTGTTCAAGGTGGTGCTGATCGGGGACAGCGGCGTGGGCAAGTCCAACCTGCTGTCGCGCTTCGCCAGGGACGAGTTCAGCCTCGACACCAGGTCCACCATCGGCGTCGAGTTCGCCACCAAGACCGTCCGCGTCGACGGCAAGCTCGTCAAGGCGCAGATCTGGGACACCGCCGGCCAAGAAAGGTACCAATACTCTCCACCTCCTGCTCCTTCTCTTTTGCCCGCCACCTGTATGAGATATTGCTGCTTTGCCTGTCCACCTCTTTCTTTCTCCCACCGCTTGCCGTCGATTCAGTTTAGTTCAGCTTGATCGATCGATCGATCGATCGTAGTAATTGATGACTAACCCAAGGACTTGCGATGACTCCTTTCCCGTTGCCATGCTTGTGATTTCAATAGCAATCTGTAAACAACTCACTCTGAACTGCAGATGTCCTTCGAAATAGGAGTATCTTTATTAGCAATACAATGTGCATCTTTCTGGTTGCGTGTAACCGCATTTCCACATTGACACCAGTACCAAGTTGGCTAATCACTTTACGTACGTGCGTGCGTTGCACTCGCACCCGCGGCTCTCTCTATGTGTAGGTACCGGGCCATCACCAGCGCCTACTACCGGGGCGCCGTGGGCGCGCTCGTGGTGTACGATGTGACGCGCCACATCACGTTCGAGAACGCGGAGCGGTGGCTGACGGAGCTCCGCGACCACACGGACGCCAACATCGTGGTGATGCTGGTCGGGAACAAGGCGGACCTGCGCCACCTCAGGGCCGTCTCGCCCGAGGAGGCCAGGGCCTTCGCGGAGCGCCACCGCACCTTCTCCATGGAGACGTCCGCGCTGGAGGCCACCAACGTGGAGGACGCCTTCACGGAGGTGCTCGGCGAGATCTACCGCGTCGTCAGCAAGAAGGCCCTCGACATCGGCGACGACCCCGCCGCGCCGCCCAGGGGCAAGACCATCGACGTCGGCGGCAAGGACGACGTCACCCCGGTGAACACGGGCGGCTGCTGCTCGGCCTAGTCAAACTCTCTCCCTCTTTCTCTCTGCCGGAGACGGTGGTAGGTGATGCCGTGTGTGTGCGTGCTAGGGTGTAACAGGCATGTCGCGACCGTGATGATTATTGATTATTGGTCAAAACGCTCTGGGGGTGGTTGATACCTTGATATCATATGCTTGATTGATACGTACTATACATACAGCGTGTAGTACTACCGGGAGAAGACGTCGTGCGTGTGTTGTTGCAAGTTGCAAGCACGGTCCGCGTCCGTGTTCACTCCATTTCATTGGTCTGTTTGGTGCAGTTCAGGTCCAAAAAAACGCGTTAGGGTGCGACAATTTTCGGTCAAGGCGCTTCATCATCAGGTAAAAAATAGAAGCGACTCCGATGAAGACGAAACGGCCGTCGTGCAGAAAGTGCATATGCCGGCGATGTCCGCGTCGGAACACGGCCGCGGAAGGATATGCATAATTTAAGAACACTATTATGCGTTGACGCAAGCCCTACCAGCTCAGGACGGCGGGTGGGATCGGAGAAGGATATTGCAAAATGCCTAGCATCTTTTTTTAGCTTCTCTAAGGGATATAAAAGCCAAGTTTATTTATCAAAGTCTACATGGTGTGGGATACAACTCCGATCATGTGAAACTGGGCTTTAAGGTTAACAAAAGAGGTCATATTTGATGAGTGGGAAATGGACAAAAAATTAACATTTGAGAAGATGCATGTATCTCAAATTGTGTCACTAGAAAAATTATAACGCCTAAGGGGGGCATCTGTTAACTGAGGAGATGATCTCACTGATCCTGCCTCCAACAATTGGGATGAACACCTAATCAGATAAACTATGTGGCCCATTGATGCACAACGGATTCTTTCAGTTTCACTCTCGCAACATGATATGCCAGATTTCATTGCTTGGAGTTATACGAAAAATGGTATGTTCTCGGTTCGACCAGCTTATTCCGTGGAGTGGGACCATCAGTATGGCAGCAAATTAAAATACTCTAATGGGATGGGACGAACCACAGTTAACCCTATTTGAAACAAGATATGGAAGTTATCTTGTCCGACAAAAGTTATTTTTTTATATGGCGTACACTATATGGAACACTCCCCCACCGGGTTACGCTCGCTAATAGACATACGAAGGTCTCGCCCATTTGTCCCACTTGCTTTGAGGGCTTAGAAGATACGAAGCATATGCTTTTCCGTTGTAGTAAAGCAAATGGGGTTTGGGAAAGGCTGGGGATGGATGATATTATTGATAAAGCTTGCGAGATTGACCATTCTGGAGAGGCAGTGTTAAAGTACTTACTACTTCTTCCGGGCCAAGGTTTGAGGATAATGGATTACCACAATGTGCGTGAGATGATTGCTGTCTCAGCATGGTATTTATGGTGGGAAAGACGAAAGTTGGTGCACAAGGAGAAAACTCAAAATGCACTTCAGATTTCAATGGGGGTTCTAGCCCTTACCACAAACTTCATAAATGCATTGTCCCCCAAGGCTTCTACGAAGGAGGATGGTCTTGTCCCCCCAGAGCTTTTGTGAAACTTAACACTGATGCTTCTTTTGACCATGACCTGCTTAGGGGAACAATGGGGGCGGTCCTGAGAGATGACAAAGGCAGATTTATTGCTAGAGGGACTGGAAAGATTGACTATTGCGTGGATGTGTTGATGGCGGAAGCTTTAGCCCTCAAGTTTGGTCTAACACTAGCGCAAAGGGCGGGATGTAATCGTCTTATTATTAACTCAGACAACATGAAGGTGATTGATACTATGCAGGATGGAGGACAGTCAGCGAGCACGACAGCAACAATCTTCGACGATTGTTTTCATTATGCATGTGATTTCATTACTACTAGATTTGAACATTGTAATAGAGAAGCAAATAAAGTAGCTCATGAGCTCGCTAGATTAGCTAGATTTTCTTTGACTTCTGTTTGGTTTGAGGAACCATTAAATGAAATTGTAATGCTCCTCGCAAACGATGTACTATTTATCTCTAATGAATAAGACTTTGGTGTTTTTTTAAAGAGTTGTGATCAGTTTTTTATTTTTTGAGGGGAGATCAGATGGGCTTTAAGGTTAACCAAGTAGTTGCGATCAAATGGGCTTTAAGGTTAACCAAGCAATCGCGATCAGATGGGGGCAGTGGACCAATGTAACCAGACGGGTGATCCACTTTACCAGATGCACACTCTCATTTGAGACCTTGCCTACGGGTAGAACCTCGAGGCGTTCCCCTAGGGGTTCTCTTCCTCCGGGCGACTGCATTGGAGTACCCAAATTCCTCACGGTCCGACGAGGCCTTCCTGTTGGGGCTTGAGTCATC